TAGTGTCTAATGGAAGACAAGTACTCCTAGGAGGCATTAGATTAGGAGGGTTTGCCACAGCTGCCCGGATCAAGAAGTTTGGGGAAGACTCCTCCAGCCGCGGTGGCGATGACAAGCGCCACGGCAAAGCTTCTTTGGAGAAAAAGAAGGTCGACCCCAACGCTTGCCGGTGTTGCGGGAAGACGGGCCATTGAGCAAAGGAGTGCCTAAATCGCAAGCAAGAGAAGAAGGCTTAGGCTCATTTAGCGTAGGCTGATGAGGCCACTCTCCTGACGGCGACGTCGCACGCAGGCGAGCTGTGTGACAGCTCCCTAGCCGAGAAGCAGAGGAGGCTGTCGTTCCCAAAGACGGCCAAGTATCGCCCGGGGGACGCTCTCGAGCTCGTCCACGGTGATCTCTGTGGGCCAATCACGCCAGCCACAAATGGTGGTCGGCGGTACTTCCTCCTGCTTGTGGATGATTGTAGTTGCTATATGTGGCTGCAACTCCTGATGAGTAAGGATGAGGCGACGGAGGCGATCAAGAAGTTCAAGGCGAGCACGGAGGCGGAGAGCGGTAAGAAGCTACGCGTGCTGTGGACTGATCGCGGCGACGAATTCACTTCGGTGGAGTTCGCTGCGTACTGTGCGGGTCAGGGTGTGGTGCGACACCACATTGCATCGTACTCGCCACAGCAGAATGACGTGGTGGAGTGGCAGAACCAAAGGGTGGTCGGCATGACTCGATCCATGATGAAGGCTAAGAGCATGCCGGCAAGGTTCTAGGGTGAAGCGGTGACCACGGCGGCGTTCATCCTCAATCGTGCGCCCACAAAGGCCCTGAAGGGCGTGACGCTGTTCGAAGCTTGGTATGGGCGTAAGCCGAGCGTGTCCTTCCTCTGGGCATTCGGCTGCATCATCCACGTCAGGAAGACAAAGCCGGTCCTCACCAAGCTGGAGGACAGGAGCACACCAATGGTGCTCCTCTTATCCTCGTGTCCGTAGTTACTTCTTTCTCTCTCTCTTCCCCCCGAGGCCGACGCCCGTGCCTCTCTCTCCTCTCGCGCCCGCGCCGTCGCCGTCGCTTGGGCGCGCGTTGTCGGTCTCTAGCTGTGCCGCAACAGCTGCCAACCCTCCCTCAACGTCGCTGATGGCTGCTACTGCCCCTGGCCCAAGCAGTTTCTTCCCTCTCCTCTCCCATCCTCGTTTGAGAATATGGAGCACGGAGATAATGACAGAGGGGGAAAAAACAAAGATGAATGAGCGAAGAGACAAGGATCCACCTCACCGTGGTCGAGGGAGGTCAACAGCAGCAGGCAGTAGTGTAGCTCCAAAGGGACTTGGTGATAGGGGGAGGCGCGAGCAATACATCGAAGATAAAGAGAGGCTGGAGATGACAGGTCATACCACTGATGCCATTCCTGACACCCCACAGTATCTCTCTGAGTTTGATAGCAGATACATGAGAGATTTTGAGGGTGAGGTCATCATGAGACCTCCAGATGACTCCCGCCAGTATACAGTTGTCAACTATTCCAAGAGTTGGAAGCTGATGGAAGAGGCGAGGGGGATCAATCCCTATGTAGTGCGCAATGATTTGAGCATTGATTACAGATTTTGGAATGAGTTTCATTCCAACTTTTATGCCACTGCCATTCTTGCATCCAAGAAAACTAAGATCATCAAGATGCAGTACATTGATTGGGATGAGATGCAGGAGAAGGAGCCTGAGTTTGACAAGGTAATCAAAATTTGTGACAGGTTCTAGCTTTCAGACATCATGGGTTTCTAGTATAACTAGAATGAGGAGGGCCTTGCACAGTTTCATGCCACATACTTCTATGACCAGACCTCTGATGAGATTCACTGGATGACTAATAGTCGGCACTACAGAGTCGACTTTGTCACTTTCAGCCGGATTCTTGGCTTTAGAGAGAAGCACAGAGGTTACAATTACATTCATGATGAGCCTCGAGCTGAGATCCATGACATCAGTTACGTGTGGAGAGATAGAAGGATTGCAGATGACAAGAGGAGTGATCTACACAGCTTCTATTACATCCTCAACAACCTCATTAGGAACACCATTAACCCAAAGGATGAAGCAACCTCAGATATTAATGGCTATGTGAGAAATGTGTTGGCTAGATTTGCTCCAGGTGGGGACAGGTTCAATGTCCCTAGATTCATGTGGACTAAGTTGAGATTTGCAGTGGAGGATGGGAGGAGGAGGCTGCCCTATGCCCTTTACCTCATGTTCATGATTGAGTCACTGGATTTTATTTTCCGAAAGATGGGATGCACACCATCTATAAAATTGAGAAGACTCAGCCAGCTGCAGCTATTCAGGGAGCGGGGAGCTCTCATGCTCATGTAGACATCTCTGAATCTTCCCGCTCTAGGTCTCGCAGAAGAGGCAAGATGAAGAAGTTTGGCAAGTGGTTGAAGGCAATCTTCGGCAAGTGCACCTATGCAGCTGACAGAGCGTATGAGACACAGCTTGAGCAGCGTCAGCAGCGTGGACAGGACCTTCCACCACTTTCTCCTATTCCACCTCCTCCATAGTATGACTTTCCAAGTCTCTCCGACACAGATTCAGATGATAAGGAGGAGCAGGGACAAGCAGTAGATTGGGATGAGACCCTAGAGGGATACCGTCAGAGACAGGAGCCGAGGCGTTCCACTCGTTACACCGCCACTACTCACTGTCAGGGCCATGCATGTATTGACTCCGACGACGATGATGGTGATGGTGGTGCCGGGATTGCTGCAGGAGATGATGATATTGATTGGACAGACATTCAGGCAGATGACGAGTAGGTGTCGATCTTTCTTCTTTTCTTCTCTTTTTGGTGCTTTATGCCAAAGGGGGAGAAAATTAGAGGGGTCAACAACTTTTTAACACCATGATCAGTAGCTGCGCTTTTTGTCTTATTCGATTAGTGTTACTCTTCACTAGGTGGAAAGTTTGAGAGTCGCTCAAAACTCTAAATTGTGAAATAATGCTACTATTTACCTATGTGTGTGGGTTATGGACATATATTAATCTATGTTGTCGCTTGTGATACAATTGTACCAGAATATATATCTTTATATGTATTATATGTTGTGTGGTGTCTGTTCTGATCAGTGCTGTTACAGCAAGTGCGGCAGTGCCGCACCCAGCTACAACAAGCAAACCATGTTGTGCATAAACTGTCATTTGCATCACGTTTTACATACCTGACACAGTATGCAGCACCCCACAGGAGCATGGATATAGGAGGAGCCCTATCACTTTCACTAAAATATGAATCTTGGCTTCTTATGTCAATTTGAGAATTCAATTTTCTATTCACATACTTAGGGAGAGGCTCTACATCCATGGCTCAGAAGTCTCAGTATTTATTTCATATCTTTTATAAGTTTTAATTGGGTTATCATCAATCACCAAAAAGGGAAAGATTGAAAATGCAATCAAGGCTTAATTGTGGATTTTAATGATAATGACCACGCAATTAGAGAACTAATGAGATTTATCGAGATGACAAGCAAGGAATTTATATTTGAGGATGCTACGCGAAACGAAGGAGCCCCCAATTATAAATGTAGATGGCTACAAACTCAAAGGAGGTTTAAATTTTATATATTGAATTTGAGTATAGGAAAAGCCGTACTATAAAGGGGAGGCACAATGCTTAAGCTAATATGTGCTATCAAGTGCTCAAACAACCACATGCATCATCAGATTCACAGCCAAGACAGTCTACACTTCACTATTACCCTTACTGTCTTGCGTGGTGCGGCACTGCCGCACTTGAAGAGAGGCACGCCTGACCCCTCGGTCGCGGGCTCCGGCTCTCCCGACCCCTTGGGTGCGAGCTCTGTCTCGCCCGATCCCTTGGGTGTGGGATTCGTCTCGCCCGACCCCAAGGTGGCGGGATCCGTCTCGCACGACCCCAAGGTCGCGGGATCCGTCTCGTCCGACCCCAAGGTCGCGGGATCTATCTCGCCCGACCCTAAGGTCGTGGGATCCATCTTGCCCGACCTCGAGGCCGCGGGCTTCATCTCGCCCGACCTCTTGGCTGCGGTGTCCGTTGTGGGCTGAGGGTATATATACCTTTCCCTTTCCTCCCCAACGGCTATCTACGATTTAAGTGACCGTTGGAGGCTGGGGGATATATATACCTTTCCCCTTCCTCCCCAACGGTAACTGGCTCTCTTCTTCCTCACTTCAGCACACCCAAAACAGAGCAAGAGCTTTCTCTCTCACTCCATTGTTGACCTCAAGCCATCAAGCAAATCAATTGATTTCTCCATCAATCCTTGAGAAAAACGGGTCCCAAACTGGATTAGAGAGTAGCTCCATTGATTCCCAAACTCTAAAAAGCACTTGGTTCACGTTTTGGTCGTCGGTTGTATTTGTTACTCTTGGAGCTTGGCTCCTAGCCGGCTAGAGCGTCACCCGTGGAGCTTGCCAACTTGTGTGACAGCCCCGAGAGATTTGTAACCATCTCTTGAAGCTAGTAAACTTACCCCTCATCTCAAGAGTTAAGTCTCTTGACTTGAGAACGAGGAAGGGCTGGAAAGCTCTAAATCTTAGTGGCTAACCTCAACAACGTAGAGGTAGGTAAGCCTTAGTGACGAGTCGAACCACGGGATAAATCATTGTGTCACTTGTGCTTGATTTACATTACTTGCATGACATATTGTTGATTGAGGTGATTTCTAGAGTTTGAGGCTGATCTACTTGTGTGTGGTGTTTCCACCACTTTCAGCTGTCGATCTGTGATCTACTACCCTGCATGAAGCTAAGAAATTTACCCAATCTAAATTTCGTTGGGTAGATTTTGAACTGTGAACTAATCTCTCCTGCAGGTGCGGCAGTGCCGCGCTCACAGAGCGGCAATGCCGCGGGTGAATTTGACTTCGGTTTGAGTTGAATTTTTACAGGCCTATTCACCCCCCCCCTCTAGGCGTTCCAGAGATCCTACAGGACTTCTGAATCAGAGACATGTAGTCATCCAAGTCAAGCGTGATCATCTAAGAGGAGCCTTGTTTGACGTTCACGGCAACCTTGCTGTCCTCCAATGCTCTCAGGGTATTGAGCGCCAGCCTCTCGGACTCTTTTGCCGCCTGTATGTCCCTCAGGACTGCTTCAAGCCTGAATTCCATAGTGCTCAGAGCAACCTTCGCTTGCTCCACTTCTTCCTTGGTCTTTCTTAGCTCCTCCTGAGCCTTGGTAGCAATGACCTTAGCCTCGTCAGCTTCCTGGGATGCATCTTGCAGAACTTTGTCCATTCTATCTCGGCACTCCTGTGCCTTGGCATGGACTGCTTGAAGTTCCTGCTGTGACAGTTCGATGTTCATCTTGAGAGATTGGGTGGTTATGGATGCCATCGCTCCCACCTGTTGAGTGGCGGCAAGTGCTGCTCTCTCTTTGTTCAATTGTGATTTTAGCAATGCAGCTGTAGCTTTCTGAGCACATAATTCATTTGTCACCTTCGCTATGCTTTTCCTGTGCTCCTCGAGCTCTTTCTTTAACATAATGATGACTTCTTCTTGCATGGGTTTATGAGTTCCACTTTCTTGTTCTCGTGCTTCCCCGATTAGCTTTGCCCCCAAACAAGTGGCTAGCTCATTCTTGAGATTGAGCAACATGATGGCTGACGTATCATGCTTTGATTGCAATTCTTGAAAAGAACAAAGGTCCAAGCTGATCTGATTCAGCTCTTTGTCTGATTTCCTGAGATCCTTTTCCCATGCAAGGCAATCCTCATCACGTGCCATTAACGTGTTCTTCCGTTCTTCAGCATCCTGGCATGTGGCGTTAGCCAAATCAAACACTTCCTTTAGTCTTTGGAGCTCTATGGTGAGCTCCTCTACTTCTTTCTCTGCGTCTTTGGACATTGTGAAGGCTGCCTGAGCTTTGCTAATGGAACTATCTGTTTCGATCAACAAAGAATCATAATCCATCTGCACTTTTCCCAACTCATCTTTCACTGACATCACTTTGGCAATCAATGCTTTGCGTCGTTCTTGAATATTATTCAGCTTCTCTCCAACCACAGCACTATCATTACAGGCAACTCCCTCCATCGCTTGTAAATTAAATTGAACTAACTCCAAGTCCTCCATGACATCCACCTCTTCAGTTTGTTCCCTCTCCAGGACATGTTTCATCTCGTTGATAAGCTGCTTTGTTCTCTCAAGCTCATTTAATACCGATAACTTTGAAGCCTCTGCAGCTTCTGCTTGATGTTTACATTCTGAAATTTCGTTCTTCAGCTTATCAAGCTCAATATGGTCACTCTCCTGCTTATAGAAACAAACGAGAGTATGTCACAGAGTTATAACAGTTACAGTACATATGAAAAAAATATAAGGAAGGGAAATCAATTCTCAGTTACTAGTGCTGTCTGTGTCCTGCGAGTTTTCCAGTTGATGCTGCCACCAAACTTTGATGCAGCAACCTTTACTGATTCAATGGGAGACGTAGTATCAACAATGGTTTTATCCATTCTTAAGTACTTGCTGGTGTTTGATCTGCTCACAGGTGCAGGCACCTTTTGCCGTGTATCTCCTAGGCTCATTTGGCGCTTATGAGATCTGTGGACGACCAGTGGCTTATCTTCTTTCACCCTTTCCAGGATGGCAGGCGGTGTTTCACAAGTAACTTTACCAGAATCAATACAAGAAGCCTCATCCTGGACCCCTTCAATTAACCTAAGCGTGGAGTATGAAGCTTCACAGACATTTACTTCTGAAGCATCCATTGTGATAGAATCATCTTTGGCTTCCTTTGATTCATAAGCTCTGCTAGAGGAAGTTAGAAAGCGTTCAGGGACTTCATTGGTTGATGTCAATTCACCACCGTCTGCTTTTGGTGAAAGGGCAACATAATCACCACAAGGAACATTTTGTTCAACTGAAACTTCTTGCAAATTGCCTTTCTTGTCAGTCAATATGAGGCTTATAGGGCATTCTTGCTGCTTTGATGCCTCGAACATGCAGCTGGGAGCTGGCTGTGTTTGAATCATCTTGGGCTTCCATTGGTTCATTAGCTTTGCTAGAGGAAGATGGAATACCATCATGAACTTCAACAGAGTATGGCAATTCACTGCTGTCCACTTTTGGTGAAGGGTTGATAGAAACACCGCTAGGAATATTCTGCTCAACTGAAATTTCTTGCAAATTGCTTTTGTTCTCAGCCAATACAAGGCCCAGAGGATGTTCTTGCAGCAATGATGCCACAAAATTGGCACTTACTGTCTTCTGAAGGTTATTACTATTGTCTTCATCAGTACCTTCAATTAGATTAGGCCCTACTGAACTTTGCAAAGATTTTGTTGAAGAGACAATGTGAGATGAATCAGCCCCTTTGATCTTCTTGTCCGCCATCCTTTCAAGCCGCAGCTCAACAAATTTGTTACTAACTGAAGAAGAAACATTGAAGATAAGAATCAGGATGGGCAACAAAACAGTCAAAGCCTAGACTTGTGTCACAATTGATTTTACAAAAGAAACAAGTGCACAACAAGAAGCTTGTATTTCACCAATGTGAATCTAAAACGTCAATTTTTTTTTGAACATAGTAAAATGTTAATTTATTGATCAAATTGATGCAGATACTGAATTACAGTACTGCATTACTGAATAATTATCCTTCATCTATGAAGGCTCTCAAACAGGAACATTCGGGAATGATCAGAATTGAGAACTAGATAAAATTTTGTCCATCGTGCATAATCATCATTATAAGCCACAAACCATTGACCTGATTATTTGTAGCTAACTATCATGGCTCAACAATGAGTATATGATTATTGGAAACATATTAATACCCCCATGGTATTTTTTTTGCCATGAAATCTAAGCAAACCCAATGCAAAACACAATAACCAAAAGAACATCACAAAAGAACTCGTGAAACAAATAATCAGAACAGTAAAAAGAAAGCAAAGGCAATAAAAAACAACAAATGAAAAAAAGGAAAGTATACGAAAGACTACATGAATCAGAAAATAAATCAAATTATAAATACAAAAACATAATCTGGAACTTACTCAAGACACTTGAATGTGTATGCTTTTACCCCAGGAGAATATTAGAGCTAGAACAGGGGATTTTGGCAATGTATGCATGCTGACATGCTGTTTCAGTAGAAGACTGGAGGCAGGGCAGAGACTTGAAGCGGTGGAGAGCAATTTGGGAGGGGGAATACAAATATAATAATAACAGGAGAAGACCTGGACTCATTCCCTAATCTAGTAATCTAATACTTATTTTGATTTATTTCTGTACTTTATTCTTTATACATAGTTATTTATGTTGGTGCCATTGGCACGAGCTGGATGGCCTAAGGAAATTCTGTGCTACCATGAAGCAGAGACAGCTGGAGGACCAGCCCACAGCCCAGGATATACAAATGTTACAGAGGATCATGGTGTCAATATGAGGATAGAGGAAACTGGAGGCCTTGGAAATCTGCATTCATGATTCTTCCATTGTGCTGCTGTTTCTTGAACCGATACTCTTTCAGCTGCTGCAATTCTTAGTGCAGTAGTAATTTGTATAACTTAAATCTTCAGTACAATGCGAAGTTTTATTACATTATCATAACATAGGAGATTCAGGGGTACATGTACGTCTAAACATTCAAGGAAAGGGAAAGCTCGTTTCAGAATATGCATTTGATATATTTTTTTTAGAAAAAAACAGAAGTTTAGAACATAGGTTATCTCTTGCCTGTAGCGTTGCTAAAGGAGCAGAAGGTTAAATTTGTATCGCAAAATAGATCACCTGGACAGTGATGGCAGAATCTCAGTCCAAGGCCATATTTTGTAAATAGAAGTATACGAAAGCTAGTAGTGTTTGTCCGTGAAGCTTAGGCCACAGAGATCAAACACATTAGGCATGACAATATCTCTAATTAAGACTAAAGACTCAGGAAGAGTTTTGCTATTCTCTAATATCCTTCCAGCATTGACGAGTTTCACATAATTGTTGGTTCAAAACCTGCTATAATTTGTCATCACTAAATGTAAACAAGGGTTCACAGTTCACTGCACAGAATCAATAGTGTTTGCTTGTGGAATTGCCATAATAGATATGTTATATAGAAAATGCTCATGCTTCTAAATAGTGCGTTCCACTGGTTGGGGAGAAAGCATCATGGTCTACACTTCCACAGCTCCGTCAAACTGGGAGAATGGCAATGGTCTTCATATCAGCAATGTTTTCTCTGAAAACAGGTTGCCAAGTATCATTAAATCCTGGAGTTCAGGTTGCTGCACCAAATGGCAAAGTAATGCCTAGTGAGTCTGCATGTCTAACATGTGCGTACTCCATCTAAGGACAAATCTTAACTTCTGATTTCAGACTACTGGAAGTACAATGCTATGACATCATCTTAGGGGCTGATTGGATTTATGTTCACAGCCCTGTTGCCTGTTGGTCTTAATTTCCAAAGATTGAGGAATTTATCTTCCATTAAATCTAATAATCTAATATGAATTATGCATACTCTGAATGAATAATTCGTTAAGATGTGTTGCAAAATAGAAATTACTTGATGTCGTAGATTTTGTAATATATAAGCAAAGATAATAACAATAATAATTGTATTCTAAAAATAAACCACCTTATGAGTCTTGAGAGAGAATTATCATATAATATTTGTTTTTGCAACGGTGCAGTTGGAGATGTAGTATTCAAAGTGATGATACAGGTTAACACTTAACAGTATATATAGGAGGAAAAGATAGTGGCGAGCACTTGTTAAGAAATTACAATTAAATACAACATTTTATCTATGTGTAGAATCTCAGTTTTTTTCAAAAAGGATTTGGATTTGATGAAACAATGACAATTAGTAGTTCCATATGGTTGCAGATGAGCAGAACAAAATGATCCTCCTATACATCTAGGAGATCAAGAACCCCAAAAGACAAGTCTTAGTCTACATCAACAATAATGGATGATGAGATGAACAAAACATTAAATAACAAGTCCAGACAATCAGCACAATCTGCAAGGCATCTTGAAGTTCAGAGGGCGCAATAAAATATCAAGATATCAGCTATCAACTGGATGGGGAGTAGGGATTAACTTAACCCAGCACACTAGTTATTCTCAAGATATTTTCCAAAAAATTATTAAAAAACAGTAGACCGCGACTTGCAATGCCTGTGGCTAAAAACTGAAGATTCTATTGTGTTCCGATAGCTAAGCATGTGTTATTCACTTATACCTGGCATTGGACCTATTTGAAAGTACCAATAAATATTTTATTCTATAAGAATAGAATGTATGAGAATAGAATTCTCTTTCACGTAGCAAATACATTCTATGGAGTGTATAATGACATGTTGGGAAACTCCAAAAATGCAGACACTAGCTCCTGGAACCCCTATGAAATCAACAGGCTGCAAGCTTGAAACTAATTGTTGAAAATAAGAAAAATGGTGTGATGCAGAACAATCTTAGCCAATTCAAACGCATATGTCCGTGTTGCAGTACTAATAATAGTTTTTGAAAAGGAAGATAATTTTATTCCTCCCTAGCTTTACTGCTGGCACACCCAGGGTATCAGAGATAAGAGATTTCACCAAAGGCTCAGAGTCCATCCCTTATTGTGGGTACCACACTAACATTTCATGATGTAAGTTGATTTGAGAAAGGGTGCTGTAATGGATACACGGCAAACAGTACATCTGATAAGCCTGAACTAAGAATAACTTCTACATGGTCAGAATAACTTCTACATGGCAAGCTCAGACCACCGATGTTAACTCAAAATAAAAGGCCAAGTGCTAAGATATGTGAGCAAAATGTACCAGTCTCATTGCAAATTAAGATGCTCAAAATGACCAAGACATAATAGCGTAATAACCACCATAATCTGAGGCACAGATAAATGGTTGTTTCAAATGGGTGATCTCAATCCGTAATCTCCATTCGCACACATCTATTCCACAAACTAATAACCTGATCATGTTAATGAGCAGCAGCTCTAAATCAGGTTGTACAAACCTTCATCCAATCACCCCTGTACTGCTCAAATGAACAATCTAAAACAAACCAGAGAGGAAGCAATGCTAAGTGCCTTCACCCCCAAAAGGCCTATAAAATACAGTACAGAGTAAGAGCTATGCAATCAATTTTAATTTTAAGCCAGCAACATTTATGTGGATCATGTACAAGGTCCCAAATTAAGTTCAATGGAAATCCAGGGATAGACACTTCTCATTATCTAACATTTTAAATTTGAACCATACCTGCGAGCTCTGCACTTGTGACTTGAACTTGGAGATATTGGACTCCTGCAGCATCTCATTCTGCAAAAAGCCAAGCAAGACCACCAGATGAGGAAGACAATTAACCAACACTCAGAAACAACCCGCCACGTAATGTCAAAGCGCTACCTCTGCATCTTGGTCTTGGAGACAAAGGACTCGGAGATGCTCTCGAGGCTGTCATTGAGGACCTCCGTGATTGCGGAGGTGATCGCCTCCACCTGCTTGGTGGGCACGCCCTGCGACTCCAGCTTCCTGACCTGCAGGCGCACCAGCATCTGCAACTGGCCGGAGCATTCCTCCAAACACCTCACGGGGGCGCGCCCAGCATTGGCGGAAGCCGAAACGGGACGGGAGTATGGTAAGAGGAGACCCCAGAGGCTTGGCTTAACAGGGCGAAATTATCTAACTTCTACCATTCAATTGTTTCATAAAAAAACACGCAGAGAGGCTTGGCTGGTCGCTTTAGCTCTGCTGCCCAGGTAGTGGCTGGGCGCCATGGCTGCTGCTTGCTCGGAGAATGCCTGCCTCCACATGGATCTGCAGGCTGGCACCTAGCATCCCCATATTCACTTATAACCTCATGGTAGCTGGAAAATGTAAATAAGGACATGCATCAAACTTAAGTTCACCTGACAACCAGACAGTAATGGCATTCCAGAATTGCAGGTGTCTGCTAGAAAATCTCAACTGCCTCTTCCTTGGAATTTGTAATAGATATTAGATGCAACACTCCTTGTTGCGCATAGATGGAAATAGTTCAATTTAGTGCAATGAACCACTCCAACATATTATGGCGTCGAAGTCTCGAAGAGTGATGCAATGTTTTCCTGTGCACAAACAAAAATAAATGCCCTAGTGACTGCCTGTAAGAAAGGTCAACTAGATAGGAGCATTACTTTTGAAGTTCAAATTACTTTGAAGACGTTTCCTGAAACTGTAATGTGTAAAAAAAAAAACTTCTGAAACTCTAGAACATTGTTGCATCAGGGCTATGTCATCCCAATAAAGCTAACCCCCACATTTTTTCTCAATCCTTTTGCTTCCATGTCTAATCTCAGCTGCTCACAATCACTCCATTTGCCAGCTGAAGCATATATGTTCGAGAGCATAACATAAGATCTTGACTTGCCATACTCAGATATGATGAGTAATTTTCCTACAGACTCCCCAATTTTATAGTTACCATGGAATCTGCATGCTCCAAGCAATGATTCAAGCAAGTTATCTGATGGCGTGAATGGCATTGACCTAACAATATCATATGCTTCATCCAAGTGGCCAGTTCGGCCCAATAGATCCACCATACATGCATAATGCTCCATTCGTGGTGTAATGCCATGGTCTGCCTGTAGCGATTTGAACAATGTTCTTCCTTGCTCTACGAGACCATTATGACTGCAGGCCGACAATATACTAACAAAAGTTATATCATCTGGATCCACTCCTGAATCTATCATCATTGAGAAAAGATCAAGGGCAGCCTCACCATTCCCATGCATACTGTATGCATTGATCATTGCACCCCAAGTGACTGAATCTTTCTCCACTGAGCTATCAAAGAGCTCCCTTGCAAATGATATGCTTCCGCACCTCGAATGTGTGTCAATAAGAGCATTGAGAACCAAAATGTTTGCGCTAAAGCCCTTCTGAAGTATGACAGCCATAATACATGCAGCAAAATCTGCATTTCCAAGCTGTGAACATGCTGAGATGAGTGCCAGCATAGTTACTGCATCAGGTCTGACATTAAGGAAGAGCATATGCTTAAAGCAATCAACTACCATATCAGCCTGCTTGCATTGAACACATGCAGATAAGAAGGCATTCCATACTATAAGGTTTCTTGCACTGACCAAACTGAAAATTGTTCTGCAGTATTCTATATTGTTGAACCTACTATACATGCCCATGGCTGATGTGAAGAGGGGTGTTTCCAACCTGGTGAAATTTCGTACTGCATAGCTGTGTATACACTTCCCCTGCAACTAGCTCTGACAAACAGGTAATAAATTCAGTAAGGTTACAAGATTCGGTTTCTCGTCACTCTTGACCATTTGGGTAAATAAAGGTAATATCTTCTCAGATACATTGTTTTTGCGATATCCACTCATCAGAGCATTGTAAGTGATTGTATTCCTAGAACAGCAACTGTCAAAAAGTTGCTGACCTGCTTCAACAATACCACAGTTGGCGTACATGGTAATGAGGGCATTAGTAAGCGAAACATCTGAAATACATCCACTTTTAATTGCCAAAGAATGAACTGACTCTCCAACTATGGCATCCTCAGACACTGAAAGGCTGCTGATAAGACCAATCAGAGTAACTAGATCAAACCGCACTTCTTCATGGAACATCTGGCAGAATAATGTTAGAGAAGTCTCTGAATCTCCAATTTCAGCAAAACCAGATATCATAGTGTTCCAAGATATCAAAATCCGCACTTCCATTTTCTGGAATAATGTATAGGAAGTTGATATATCTCCGCAGTCGGCGTACATAGCTAGGAGTGCATTCATAACTCTCTGGTATGATTCAAATCTATTTCTAACAGCATATGCATGTATTGACTTTGCCACGAGCAAATCTTTTGTGTATCTACATCCAGATATTACATTAATGACAGTTGTTGCATCTGGAGCAACACCCGCAATTTGCATCTTGCAGAACGCATCAAGAGCCATGTTCCACTCCTTATTTACAAGGTATCCAGAAATCATAGAGTTCCACAAGATATTGTTTTTCTCAGTAAAACAACAGAAAAGGAGCAACGATGAGTCCAATTTCCCAAGCTTCGAATACATGGACACAAGAGCACTAACAACAGAAACCTGCTCTGCAAGGCCAAGCTTGATAATCATGCCATGCACAGACTCCCCATGGTTTATACCAAAAAAATCACTGCAAGAAGGAAGGACAGACAACAATGTGACCAGGTTAGGCCCTACGCCTGCACAATGCATCAATCTGAAGACCTCAAAAGCTTCCTTCCAAATGCTGTGCTGCATATATGCTGATATCATGGAATTGAAAGATGCCAAACCTTTCACAGCAGATCGAACACCATTCGAGATGAGGAAAGATCATCAAACGCAGCATACATTGAGATTAATACAGATGTAAGGGATTCATCATCAATCGCTCCACCTTTCAGTGCAAATGCATGCAGCGAATCGCCAGCAACCCTGTCTCCGGCACTTCCGCACATGCCAATTATGCCAACAAGAGTGCTTGCATTCGGCCTCATGCCACCCTGCTGCATCTCCTGCAACATTTCAACAGCCTCTAGGAAGCATCCATTGAGTGAGTACCCTGAGACCATCGCATTCCAAGAAATCAAGTCCCTCAGCACCATGCAGTCAAAGACTCTCCTTGACACATCAATCTGGCCAGCCTTAGCATACATGTCAAGGAGCGCAGTCTGCACGCCAACACTGCCCCCATGCCCTGTACGCAGAACCCTGCAATGCACCTCCCTCCCCAGCCGAAGGCAAGAGGCAGCCGTGCACGCCCTAATGACCGGAGGGAAGGTGAAGTTATCCGAGCCAAAGCCACATAGCTCCCGGTAAAGACCAAGAAGCTCCCGGTGGAAGCCATGGTCCGACAAGCACCGGACCGCGAGATTCAGTGACTACACAGCGGGGCGGCTGCAGTAGGCTTCGGCAAACAGCAACGCCGCAGACGCGGGCTTCCCAAAAGAAACATACCTTTCGACAAGGCCTGTGGCAACGAATCTGTCCTGGATCGCACCCGCGACTGCGAGACGCGCGTGGAGCTCTCTGAGGCATTTCAGCGAACATGTGTCGCGCAGGAGCCCGGTGAGGACCTTGAGGTGCGTAGCCTCACTCGTCGGAGATGAGGAGGCGAAGGATTTGGCGCGATATTGCTTCGATTGGTGCCATATCCTTGAGATCTTGAAGTGTCTAGAGAGATTGCTGCGGTGGATGGCCATGCCATGGAGACGGAGAGAAGCGTTGTCTGTCTCCTAGGCGGGAAGTGAACGTAACCCCTGTTTTTGGTTGCCGCCGTCCTTTGGTTGGTAAAAAAAAGGGCTACACTGATACACACGAGGGATGGAGACTAGTGGAGCTGGAGTGCTCGAGGGATGAAAAGGTCATAGTGAAGTTATAATAACTCCACAGATTTAATCGTGGATTTATGTTTTAAAATTTATTATTATAAGTCGGTACTCCCTCTGTCATTGAATAAATAGATTTCTAGACTTGCTTTATCACAAACTTTTAAACTTTTTTCCGTATTTCTAGAAAAATTGTCAAGATTTATGATATCAAATTAATATTATTAGATATACAATAGAATATTTTTTAAACGTAATAGCAGGAGCTCTGTCTTTCAATTAAGATAGAAAAAGAGAGCTTATATACAAGCAAAGACACTCCAGATGAGGATTTAAAGCCCCTCGAAGCAGGAATAAGAGGGAAACGCACACCCCAAGGGGAAACAGCAGCTAAACATAAGCGAGTACTCTCTTTTTTTTCTCTATGTCTTCCTTTATCCGTGTGTCTACTTGTAGCATCGTTTCTATCTCGTTGTTGAAAATTCTCATATTTCTCTCTTTCAAAATATTCCAAAAGGTGTAGATTACTACCCCGTTTAGTCGTCTACGTTCAGATTTTGGCACTTTTCTTGCCGCCGCCTCCCACCATGCTCTGATATGGATGGGGTCTGCCTGGGGTTGTTGTTGCAGCTAAGTGAAGAGAGGATTTAATCGCAAACCGCCTTAGCAAAAGGGCAACATAGACATAGGTGGAGGCCGGTTTCCAAGGGACTATTGCACAACACGTAGTGTTCTTGGTGTGGCCACCCTCTCTTTTGTAGGTTGTACGCCGTAAGAATTTTATCTTACACCAAAATCCAGGCGAAAATCTTACATCCGTTCTCCACTTGTGCTTTCCAAATGAGTTCAGTACGGAACAGGACGAGCGAGCCTTTGAATTGAATTCTGTAAGCTGCAGGGTGCACGTCCTGAATTCGTATCCAAAGGGACACAAATTCCTCTATGTGGACAGCCGAGGTGATTTTCCTTCTTAGCGAGCGCATCCAATTGTTGTTCCGGAGTTCTTGTTACACTGTTCAGTTTTTCCTTGAAACAAGCCGAAACAAATTCGGGGCTAGGTACCTTGGAGCTTCTCCTTCAAACCAATTATGGTGCCAAAACTGAGTCTTTGCACCATCACCCAAAGTTATGTTGATTGAGGAGTTAAAGAGGAGACGATCAACATCAGTACATGGAAGCTCTGAGCCGATCCAAGGCTTGGAGTCCTCCACCCATTCTTGCCAAAGCCAGCACAACCGAAGGGCTCTCCCAAATCTATTAAGGTCAGGCACGCCTAAGACACCAAGGTCTTTCAGTCTGATAACTGTTGGGCAGTTAACCAGGTAGTGTCCACCATTGGCATTCTCCTCCCCCTTCCACAAGAAAGATCTCCTGATTTTGTCAATCTTCCTCTTAGCCCATGCCGCCAAGGGAAACACTGTGAGGTGGTAGGTTGGCATGGAGGAGAGGACTGAAGTTAGTAGAGTGAGGCGTCCCACTTTGTTTAGCCATCTTCCTTTCCATTTGGGTAATCTTTGTCCAATACGCTTAATGAGAGGTTGCACATGAACCTTTCGTAGTGATCTAGTGTGGAGTTGCAGCCCCAAATATTTGCATGGGAAGCCACCTCTACTACCGGTGAAGGGTGATAGAACTTGGTCTAGATCGACATTTTTCACATCTGATTGGATGCACAGAGCTTTTTCTAGATTAATATGGGGTCCTGAGAAGGTGCCGAATGCTTGGAGAATAATTTTGACAGCTTCTACATCCTCTTTTATTGGGTTGATGAAAATAGCCACATTGTCTGTATACATAGAGATTCTCCATTTTGCCGCCATGATGGGTAAGGGGGGTGAGTATCCCATGTTGGGTCGATTGGTCAAGCAAGCGTTGAAGCGGGTCCATAGCCAAAATGAAGAGCATGGGTGAAAGCGGATCTCCTTGCTGGACGCCTCTGGCATGGCTAAAAGTGGGTCCTTGCCGCCCATTAAGCAAGGCTGTTGAGGTGGATGTACGGAATAGAATAGAGATCCATTCACGCCAGCGTGGTCCGAAGCCTAGAGCCTGTAGAATCTCTAGCAAGTACCTCCAATTTACCGTGTCAAAAGCTTTGTGGATGTCCAGTTTCATAAACAAAGCCGGTATCTTCTGCCTGTGTAGCTTTCATACTGCTCCCTGAACGTAAACAAAATTATCATGGATGCTTCTCTTTTATATAAATGCGCTCTGGCAATTGAAGACGAGAGAGTTCAGTCGAGGGGCAAGTCTGTTAGCTAATAATTTGGAGAAGATCTTTGCAATGCTATGGATGAGGCTGATGGGTCTAAAATCGGTGACTCTCGTTGCATCCGTTTTTTGGTAGAAGGATGATGCATGCCGAGTTTAGCCATTCAAAACCCTGGGCGTTCAATGTGAATAGGTTGTTTTATGGCTGCCATAACATCCTCTTTAATGATTTCCCAACAAGCTTTGAAGAAGGCACCAGTGAAGCCATCCGGGCCTGGCGCTTTGTCGGAAGGCATGGAATTTATAGTATTTTTTACCTCATCATAGGAGAAAGGCACTTCCATGTCCGAGAGATCACGTTGAGTGTAGCCAAGAGATTGCCAATTGATTGTTGTGGTTCTCGGAACTGCAGAGGCAATGTGATTTTTAAAATAATCCCCTATCACTTTTTCTTTTTCTTCATGAGCAATCGTAATCCCCCATCCGTATGCAGACAATGTATGTAATTCTTTCTCCGACGTGCACTAGCTCTAATATGGAAAAAATTGGTGTTAGCATCTCCACAACGGATGTATGTGAGCCTCGATCTCTATCTGATTCTTGATTTTTCAATGGCTGCGAGCCCCGTGCTACGGACTTTGAGGCGCCAGCATAGGTTAAGCTCCCTGTCAGTGAGCAACCTATGCTCTTGGGCTGCTTCTAATTGTAACAATACTTCCTTCACTATGGCTAGCTGCAGCTTTGTGTCCCCTATTTTTTCCTTTTTCCAACGCTTGATTCCTTTTGCCACACGCGCCATTTTGATATGCAAGCGTTTCATAGGAAGAGCAAAGGTGACCGGCCTATTCCAAATGTTTTGGACAAGATCCCGGAAGCCTTCCATCTTAGTCCAGAAATTTTCGAAGTGGAAGGATGTGTTCTGATGGTGGTCAAGCTCTCCCTGCATGAGTAGCGGGGTATGGTCCGACATGAGCGATGTCAGGGAATGCAAGAAGCAAGCGGGGAAGATCAATTCCCACTCTGGGGTGCATAGTAGTCTTTCAATTCTGGTTAGCCTCGGGTTGTCCTGTTGATTACTCCAAGTTAAGCGGTGTCCATTCAGCTTGATTTCTTTGAGCCGCAAGTGATCGATCGTCGCCCTAAATGCCCCCATGAGCCGCCGGTTTAGATTGGAATTGTTCTTGTCTTCTGCCTGGTAGATGAGATTGAAATCGCCCAGGATGAGCCATCTATTGTGTTCCGGCGGAGGAATGTTCTTCAATTCTTGGAGGAATTGAAGTTTGGCTGCATCTCCTTGCAGGCCGTATACAACTGTAAGTTGCCACTTAATTATCCGCCCTCATGGTGATTTGCGCGGTTATTGCGTTCTTGGTAAGTTCAACGTCGGAGAGGTCGAAGAAGTGTTCATTCACAGCAAGGAGAATGCCTCCTAGAGTCTGTTCTGCCAGGAGCACAATATAGGAATTAACAAATTTTGCTCCTACTGTGCGGCTCACCACATTTTGATCCATAACTTTCATCTTTGTTTCTTGTAGACATACAATGGTGGCACCAGTGCTCACTAACTCGCTCACCGAGTCTTGTCGGGCGCCGTCATTCATGCCCCTGACGTTCCAGTTAAGAATTTGACAATTTTGTTGTGCCATAAAAACAAGCAAAGGACCCCTGTTTGAGCATAACATATGGAGGGAGGCAAAATGCAGGCCATCTGGGGTTGTGGTTTTTAGCAGGAAGGACAAAGTTGATCAATCTGAGACACATGCTCATGAAAGCAGCAAATTGGAGATGCCGATTAATCTGAAGGCCAGTGGCTGTCGGCGCAGTGATACAATGCAAGAATTTTTTGCGTACAAAGATGTTGCTACAACGAACTGCTAGGTGGAGGAGCTTCCCAGTCTGATGGTGAGGCGACTGTAGGCCTCTGGCTGTCGCCCCACCCAACCAACATAACTGGAAGCGCACAAACTGAAGGTCAACTCTAGCTGTGAAGCTCCAGGAGTGTTGATGGTTTTCTAACATTAATACATTGAGTGACCCTTTGCAATTAGCAGGTTTCTAAACCTGCGGAGTGGATGCTGCACTTGCTGCGTCGAGGCCACACAATGCCGTTAGAGCCTTCATGACGACATCGGTGAGTGGTCCCTTGAACAGGCTGAAGTAGCGCAGCAGCAGATCGTCGTGGCCGAGTCCTTCATCGTCGAGGATGCCCAGCCTTTTCATGAGAACCTGTCGGGCTTTCGCTTGAGCGTCACCCCTGGGCCAGTTCCTGGCTGCTATGCGCACGCTCCTACGTGCTGGAACCACAACCCTCTTGCGTCGCTGTGGCGGGCTGGCTCGGCGCGGTGAAACTTGCAAGATGGGTTGGGGGTAGAGGGTGTGAGATCCCCTCTACAAATTCTGACACCGCCAATGTAGCAGTAGTCGTAGTGTCGACATCATCCTGTACCTATGATACTGCGGTGGCCTGCTCTGGACGTTGCTGCTGGAGTCCGTTTGCCATGCGTCCACGGCGCGAGTAGGTGGTGCTTGGGCAGCGGGCGCAACGTCTGGAGTAGATGAGTCCAGGGCGGAACCGCACCACCTGTATGCTCCCCTCTGGTTGTGCTTCTGGTCGGTGTGGGGGGGGGGAGCACGTGGCCGCCTGGAGTAGACACGTCCCGGGCTTAAGCCACGTTCTGCAGCAAGGTGGGAGCGCTGCTGTGTTCCCCCTTGGAGGGCTGTGAGGTTGGGGTCGCTGTCGGGGAGAATCTGTAAGTCAAACGAGCATGAGATAGGTGTAGCAGCCGTCAGCGGATCAGGTGTAGTGTTGCTATGTGACACGTCGTCAGGTTGGGAGGCCGGTTTCCAGGTTGGAGAGGCTGCGGGTGGTGGAGTCATTGCCAAATCATCCATTTGATTATGGTTTGCACGCACCTTCGGAGGGTTTGGCGATGGGTGATGGTTGTTGCCGGTGCCACCTCCGAAGTTAGGCGACTTGCAGCGCAGGCGTGGTGATGGGGACTCTGAGCAGGCTGGTCTGGGCCACGGCTCCGAGTGCGCGTGCCTGCGGTGGGGCGTCCGCTCCCTGCTCCGACCATGGGATCGGCGAGGGACATCCACCGGGCGGACGGGGTCAGTGGCCTTGGCGAGCTGATGTCGAGCCCTGTTGTTGTCACCTGCAGGGTTGCTTGGGGCAGAGAAGCGAGCGCCATGGTCAGCAGCAACGTTGTCCAGAGGGCGTCGATGACCTTCGTGCTCGGGGCTCCGGTGCCGGCGGCTACCGTGCCTCGACTCCGAACACTCCCGCTCCTGCCCCTTGGGCGCACACGACAGGCTGCGGATGAGGCGCGAGCTCCAGTTGTCGCCCTGACGTTCGCGGCGCCCACGACGGTCGTCGTCGTCGTCACGACGGCTGCTGCGGACGTCTGCAGGCGGAGGGTCGTGGCGGTCACGCGGCGTCCTCTCCCCATCAACGACACCGTAGTGCCACGTGTAGTCACGGGGTGCAGCAGCGTGTCCATTCCTTCCCGGTGGGTCCTCTACCAGGTCAACGTGCACCAGCACCCTGAAGGTGAGGCCCCGGCGGCCGTGAGCAGGTGGGGCACTGTGAAACTCTGCTTTCCTGCTTGACAAGGTTAGCCAGGTTACCTTTGGGATGTCCGACGGGTTGTGTGTCCATGCCCAGATGCAGAGAGCCCTGGTGTCCTCCCGGTCCAGCGAAGACTTCTCGACGTAGTCAAGGTCGCAAGCTCTGGCGATGGCCCTCTTGGCAATGTTCTCGTTCCAGGCGTGAAGTGGGATGCCCTCCATGTACAGACGAACGCGGTACTTGAGGTCGCAGATGTCGCCGTGCGTGACCAGCTGCCAAGGCCTGGTGTGGATGTCGAGATTGCGATAGGGGAAACTCCCCTGAGCCACAGCCTCATCACGGGGGTGACGGTGCTTGAAGTCGATGAAGAAGTCCTCGGGGAAGTGCTTGGCAACGGTGACATCCTCCATATACAATAGAATATATTTTCATAATGTATTTATTTTATGTCATAGATATTATTACTCTTTTCTATAAAGTTAATCAAACTTGAGATAGTTTGACTTATACGGATTCTAGAAATTGATTCATTTAGGGACGGAGGAAGTCCAATCAAAATATTTATCATAACTGATTTTATACCGTCTTTATGCGGATCTTTTTACCACTAATTTCTTCTAGTAACTAGTACGGTCCTTCCCAAATCCCAGGTGTCAGAATTTGGAAGTAAATTTGAATATATATACACATATAACATATATATTTTCAAACTAATAATTTGCTAGTCGTCAATGTTTGTAGTTTTTAAGATCTGGCCAAATTTGCCATCTATAGCAGCCGGATGTATTGTGTACTTGAGAATTATAAGGTGGGGAGTGTTTTTGTCTCGTGAACTTGTGTATAATAGAGATGACCAGATGTCCGAATTCATATCTCCTGAAACAATTCCTTGAGGTTTTGTTTTTTGAACGCAGTACAATTCCATGACTTAAAACAGGGAGCCATGGATCATGGTCACTGTAACTTCACTTTCAGTTTTCTAAAGACACGAAAAAATAAAGACCATCGTTCAACGGCAAGCATGTACATGTACCTTCCTTCCGGGAACATGTTACATGTCTGCGACATCCACAGGCATAAAAATAGTTTGCGAATTGGAAATCAGTAATGATTCTCACCATTTGACAAAATATGTATATGTACATTTCACTGTTATTGAAAATTTAATACTAGCTGCCCCAAAAGCTGCAGAAAAAGCATTACACCCATAGGATCAACCAATACATATATCCACCAAGTAGAGAGAGACCTAGCCTAATATCCTTCTGACGAGAGAGGTACTAAGCAGCACTACTGATGGAGACTGCAAAAAAGACAGATACACATAACAAGAACTTAATCCACTAGAATGCCGATGCTAACTGCTCCAGTACTCGTCATATCACAAAATCACTAACAGCTACCCTTCAACACCTTCCTTCAGATTCAAAGTGTCTTGGCTACCAACAGACAACAGCTGAAATTTTGAGAGACATGTCCCATCATCTTAGCGCCTTCGTTTAGGATAGTCATCTCAATTCTTGCAACAGGCTAAGCTAATTGATCCTGCAAATTTACTTGATCATTCATCACGGTAGTGCGAAATGCTGCTTAATCTCCTCCTCTTGCATGATTTCACTGATTCTGCTTCAACTTCAGCCTCATCGTCAGCAAAATTTTGATCAGAGACCTCTGGAGAGGGAGGAAAGATACAAAATTGGCATTAGAAACAAGTTTACTGCACGATGCTATTGCTGAGCAGTGCTAGTTGAATTCAGAACAAAAACAAACAAGTTATTGGAGTAATTGAGCTGTTGTGCAATCTCAGTAAGTGTCATGGAAAACAATCATGGATGAACTGCATTGAATTAAGAACTAGCTGCATAGCTAATTAGGACACTTTATAGCTGGGCTGTGATGCTTAGTAAAAACAATGTTCAGATACTAAGTAGAGATGTTCAGACAACTACAGCAGAGTTTGAGCATTTGACCAAAATGTACCAATTAACCAATGCAATAAAAATGAAGTTAGTCACCTGTACTTTCAACAAGAAGCTGGGGTTCTTCCTTACAAGCTTCCCATTCCCTTCCATGAGACACTGAAAGGCTCTTCCGGTTTGCCTGAGTACCCGATTCATGATCGCCCACTGAAGCCTCGACCCCATCACTTTGTGCGTTGCTACCGCAATCACGTGGCCTGAAATGCTGGATCCAAGGATTTGCAGGAACGCAGCATTTAGCCCCACTTCGAACAGGAGCATTATTAGTCTTCTCATACTTGATGTACTCCCACACACCCCTGCGGAGAACCTTGAAGCCAGTGACATTTGCATTGTGCAGATGGTTTCCGTGATTGTATAGTTGATCGACAAAAGAAGCCTCCATAGAACTTATATACTTCATGTGCCTCTCATCTGTCCACCCAGCGGACATCGTGTCCAGAACTCGATTCCCCTGTCAAAGAATAAATAAAACGTCTAGCTTAGTGTGTATAGGAATTGGGTAACAAAATGATGTAAAAAATTATATTGATAAGAGAAAGGGGATCATGAAAATATGTGTACACAACAGCTCAACGGACAGTCAAGAAATTACACGAACTAAAGAACTGACAGGTTATGGTAAAAAAAAAACTCTATTGTTTACTCGTACCTTGGCAATGCCACCTGCAGTTGGCTCCGCTTTAATGGGTCGATTCAAGGACACATCCCCCATTGGGTTCTTTGAATCAGAAAAGAACCAGCAAAGGGATGCAAGTTCCAAGGATTTGCTTGTATTTCACCCGAACTTTATCAGATGCAACAATTCTTGTGTTCCCTGCTTCCTCCCTTGAGGAACATAAAAAATTTCCCCTTTCGATATTTTAACCAGGCTGGAGGGAGGCAGAAAACGAACAAATAAGCAAACTGGTGCAAGAATTTGCTAGACGCCGGATGATTACGGATTGGGGTAGACAAACCTGCAGAAGATCGCAACTCAAGAACGAAGAAAACCCCCAAGGATCAGAAGCCAACTACACACCTAGGCAAGAACTGCCGCGGCAAATTTCGGCGGAATTCAGGTGAGCTCTTAGACCGCACTACCCCCTAAAAATCAAACCGCCCTCGGACAGCAGATGAAGGAAGCCCCTAGATTTGGCTCAGGCTCTGGAGAAACGTGGAAGAACAGAAGGGGACAGAGAGGGAGAGAGGTATATAGCCGCAGCCCGCAGAGGAGAGAATGGCCATTGAAATGAAAAACGCAAGGACGATATAGACAGGATTAAAGAGGGATCGGCACCCGACCGGGCCCGTGGACGGGAGCTTTACGCCTACGTGCCGGCGCTTTTCCACGTGGCTGGCCGACACGTGGCAGGGGCAGGGAAAATATCGGGCCTCAGATATTTGTTGGCCCTCTTCGTTCGTTCGCAGTCTCTCTCTTTTGCCGCCAGAAAAGGGAAAAGGGTGGCGAGAAAGATCTGCACCTGGGACCCCCGCCGCCTTATCCTGCAACCGGAGGAACGAAGCAATGGGCGCGCATGGGATGGATCATCACAGCCTGGAGATGTTTATCTTCAGCGCCCGTCTTGTCCTGCTGTCGTATGTATGGCTCTCTGAATAATCTGCCATTTACTTTATTCTGTTGTATCCTAAGCAGTCAACAAATGATTCTTTAGCAATACAAATCTAACAAGAAAAGGTATATTGTTCTGATGCTTTCTTGGTCCCAGTTACACCACTTCATTCAGGTAGATGTAACATCAGAGGCCAGTTCAAAAAAAAAAAACATCAGAGGCACACACATCCAGCTTGCTGGATGCCAGTTGCTAGATAATAAACACTCCTATATAGTCCAGTACAAACAGATAAGGGAAATGTGACCAGTGATAATATCTGGGTTCAAAAGGACAATTATTGAGACGCCAGGAATCCGAGCAAAAATATCTTGACGGCCAAAGTCCATTCCGCACCTTCATGTGCTTAATATCTGCAACTTGACAAATATAGTATGCCCAACAAGATAAGCGGCACACAGCTTCGGGATTGTCTATGTTCTTCAGTGACTGCTACAGAAGCTCTCCTGATAAAGTTCAGGGAGCAGGGACCACCAAGGTTTGCTGACTAAGCTTAGGCCCTGTTTGGTTTCCATAAGTTAGGTGATTTATTAAGTCAGGTGACTGAAAACCAGTGACTTATAAGTCATGCATGTTTGGTTGTAGATGACTTATAAGTTCATTAAAGGTGTGGGCCCCACGCGAAAAAGGGTGACTTATAAGTTTCAAGCAGAGATGAACCAACTTAAAACTTATAAGCAGGGAAAAATTATAAGTTAGTGGTGTTTGATAAAATAAGTCATTTTTTTTACTTTTTAACTTATAAGGAGGTAACTTATTTGGAACCAAACATGCCCTTACCTCAAGTACAATGGACAATTCTTCCCATGTGGGATGGATTAACCGATTGATAGGAACCACCATCTGAAAGTGCTACAACACAGTATCTATCTGAGATCTCTCTATGGCTTTTGCTTTCCCAAAGGTCTAACAATTGCTATGCAGGTCCTTTTACATATATATCGCTTTTTCCTAATATGATATCAACTACGGTCACAATTCAACTCTAAAGAATTGTCAAAGGACCATAACGGGTGTCTCCAACATGACCATTTGGTGGGTTCGTGTAGGGTATAACCCAGGTACCCGCGGCATGGGACATAGGCCGCACGGTTAGGAACGGTTCAGCCCATAAGGTCAAGACTTGCGGCGTATGGCACTGCTCGGCGTATACTGCAAGACATCTAGAAGATTTGATCGGATATTACAGATATTGTAATCTAATACTTGACGTGTAACCGACCATAATACTTTCCTTGTAACCCTACCCCTCCAGAGTATATAAGGAGGGGCAGGGGTCCCCTAGTCGACATCCCATACGGATCCTAAACTTTACCTAAGGCATCGGATCACACGCAATATCATACGATAGCCAATACAGACCACAGGAGTAGGGTATTACGTCGTGCAGACGGCCTGAACCTGTCTAACTCTTGTGTCTCTGTTGTCTTCTTGTTCTTACTACGCGCACCACTGCCGATCAATCTACCTTCGTGGGATACTCCTCGGAGGACTGCTGACGATATCCTGTCGACAGTTGACGCGCCCGGTAGGGGTGTGCGTGTTGATTCCTAGTGAACGAGATGGGATTTTTGCGATCAAGAAGTTGTGCCGACCTCAAGACGTACGACGTCGGCGGCGACTGGGCGTCTATCGACATTGTGCATCGCGATCTGCTTTCGTCGCTGGCGATCTCAGACTCAGTGTCCCGAAGCGACTCGTGGCTGCACACAACAAAACTCGGAGTCCTGCGTCAACACGTCTTCCGCAACAAATAGATGGATCAAGTTCTGCTGTGGAGTTTGACTTCCGCGAAAACGAACGCGTCTACACGCCGAGATCCATCGCGGTGTTGCATGCCTCAAATAGGCACGAAGATTATTATCAGGGCTGGCCGCCACGCCGCACGCGTCATCGCTCACTTGAAAAGATCCGATACGGGAGCCTCGGCCCATTGAAGATCGAGATGCATCCCTCATAAAGATTCACCTACCAGCAACTACTGCGAAGACTTAAAAGCAGCGTTATGCCATCACGTGATGATCTACCGCACCATGCAATACTTACGAACAAGGATCAATTTGCATGGGCTGTGTATGCATCTACACAAGCATACACGCAGCCATAAGCAGAAAAGACACGGTCGTGAGATAAACATGTGAAGACGTGCAAGCTAATTGCGGATAATCCAACTTCGGCTTGCAACGTGACTCCGTGCACTCGTCCGACTACGACTCCGCGTATCCGTCCGAGCTGTCATACGAACCATCCGAGCCGTCAAGCGAGCTGCTAAGCGAGATGCCTACATCGCCGACCAGTAACATAAGGACGACATCACCCGGACTACTCGCTCCGATCGCCTGCCGCGTCGCAATGATGACAACCATGACCGCCGCCATGATGACCGTTCGGAAAGGTCGAGGGCCGGACAATTTCGTACACGCTGACCAGATAACGTCATACGCCACCGACTAGATGTTATGTCTAAAGCTAAGTCACTCTTTAACATTTTTCTAAATATTCCCCAACCTTCGTATATCTCCATAATGTTTCTCCGAGCTGTTTTCTCTATGTTTGCTCTCCAAACGATTTTCTTTCATGTATACCATCTTAAAGATGACATACAACTAAGCCTAAGACAAATCCCTGAACAATCATGTTAATACTCGGATGTTTCAAGAGACGGCCCTGTCTCCAGCTTCTCCCTACACATGCACGAGCGCATGCCCTCTGCGTTAGGAGTGGTCGACAGCGCCTCCTTGGCGACGCCCTGCTCTTCCTACACGCACACGGGCTCCGCGCTCCGCGTTATGGTTAACATGCTAGTTAGGGCTGTGGACTCAGCTACACACTAACTGGTCGGACGATTTATATTAAATATAAACACATCTTCAGAATAACACTAAGTGTTCACACCAACTGATCACCGAGCTGCATACGTTATTTCATTACCATTGGTGATTCTTCTCCGGAGTTCATATATTTTATTTTTACATCATATACTACCCATTCTACACATTAATTTCGCAGGGGCACGGCTTGATCAATGAACTTACGCTCAGGAATTAGACAAGATGATCATTGTCTGGGTGGTCGGACCACCTATCGGACGGACTTCACCGCCAACCAACTGGTTGGACTGCCCGGTACTCATTCCTACTCGCGTTCACTTCGCCGTCGACCAGTTGGGTGGGCTGCTCATCGAATGGGCTTCATCGTCAGCTACGCTGGGGGCTCGCCAGCTATGCTGGAGCTCCTCGGTGTTCGAATTCTTCGTGCAAGCGTCGCCAGCTAAGCTGGGGACTCCCTAGATAGTCGGATCTTGCTACGTCTCATCGGTGTGCTATCAAGTTGCTCCATGCTGTTCGGATCAGGGTGCTGATCTTGGACAACACGTCTGGGGTCTTGATACGCGCATGTCAGATGACGTCGACAAGATTTCAGATTTCTTTTCTTTAACCCTGCTACAAGATTCATTCATCTTTCAGCAGGCTCAGGGTCTAAGTGGCTACACTTCACCTGACGGTGAATGTAGTGCTTATTTCTTGATTTACCCTCCTTATTGACAGAGTCTAAGTGGCTACACTTCTCCTAAGGGGAAGAATTTTCAAATTTTATTTTGAGCCCCTTACATCCTTCTAGCAAGCTTTACTCGGCTAAGTCCAAGGTCTCCTTACCGGTTAAACTGGTCGGCATTGACTTTCACCGCCCAGGTCCCCAGTTAAACTGATCGACCTTGACTTTCACTGCCTAGGTCACCAGTTAAACTGGTCGGCTTTGATTTTCACCGCCTAGGTCACAAGTTAAACAGTATGCTTTGATTTTCACCGCCTAGGTCACCAGTTAAACTGGTCGGCTTCGACTTCCACTGCTCGGATCACTAGTTAAACTGGTCGGACTTGTTCAAGACGGCGCTACTCAAAGGATACAAGACGCTCGGGGGCTAACTGTGGGGATATAACCTCAGGTATCCACGGCATGGGACATGGGCCGCACGGTCAGGGATGGTCCAGCCCACAAGGTCAACACTTGCGGCGCACGGCACTGCTCGACGTACACTGCAAGACATCTAGAAGATCTGATCGAATACTACAGATATTGTAATATATTACTTGCCATGTAACCGACTAGGATACTTTTCTTATAATCCTACCCCTCCAGAGTATATAAGGAGGAGCAGGGGTCCCCTAGTCGACATCCCCATACGGATCCTAGACTTTGCCTATGGCATCAGATCACACGCAACATCATACAATAGCCAATACAAACCAACAGACCACAGGAGTAGGATATTACGTCGTACAAACAGCCGGAACCTGTCTAACTCTTGTGTCTCTGTTGCCTTCTTATTCTTGACTACGCGCACCACTGTCGATCAATCTACCTGCGCACCACTGTCGATCAATCTATCTTCGTAGGATATCCCTCGAAGAACTGCCAATGATATTCTGTCGACAGCTCCCATAAAATAGGCGATAAGATGGCACCCAGTGGGGATGACGATACCTAAACTAACTACAACAAAGATGGGACAGGAACTTCTTCGGATTGTAGGCTTTTCTGGCTCCTGAGAGCGAGCCTGCTATAATCCTGAAAGCAGTAAATGTTAATTCATTAGATGCAAAACATGTATCATACTGAAATGAATCCAATAACACAGCACTCTGATGCTTTTATGTACACAACCAGGACCATGGTGAGTATTTACCTGCACTATGGACTGGACGCAAAGCTTCCCAGATAAAACTGCACCTTCCATGGAAGCCAAGTATTTCTGCTTTGTGTAATCACCAGCCAGATAGAAACCTTGATTGGGTGACCTTTGGAGAGGTCGGCAAGGTTCACAGTTTGGGACAGTTTTTTAAACCGATCTGTCAAAGCAAGCCAGAATACAAAAATTAGGAAATAATACATAAAACTATCAGAGCTAGAGCTACTTATGATTATCTATCAGGAAGGGTCTTTGGCAAATATCCTCACCTCGGTGTCTTCACAACATGATACTTAAGAATCTTTGCTTTACTCTGATCGGCAGCAATTTCATCAGGAAATAACTTGGCTAGCTCTTCCATAGTTGCATCGATGATTTCAGTGTCACTTCGACCAATCCATTCGTCTGCAGGAGCAAAGACCAACTCTAGCATTGAACGGTTTGGATCGTAGTATTCCTGTAAAGAATTGGAAAAAAAAGAAGGAAAGAAACAGGTGAGTGTGCATCCATGTCATTTGCTATCGTGATCCATAACTACAACATAGTGTCCAGTGACATGTTCACCAATTATTAAAGTACTACACTTTAATACATCTATGTGCACACATGACTAAAATTCATAATGCGCAAGATATTTATATTTCCACTTAATAATGAATTCCTTCTAAATGGCATAAGCCGTAGGACCTTTTTAATGTACTTAATAAAGTAAAATTCAGGTGGATATTGCATTTTTTTTGTAGTTAATAAAGTAAAATTAAGGTGGATATTGTATGTGTGAGAAGGTCGCTGAGGCCCTAGAAATAGTGAAGATATAGTATGCTAATGGTTGTGGAGTGATGATAAGCTCCTCAAGTTCGTACCTTGCAGCTTACTGACATGTCTGCATAGACACTTAATAGTGAGCTCCTGAAAAGAAAACAAACAAAACATATGGTATTTAATACTGAACATGGACATTCAACCAGAACAGCACATAAAATATCTTGATAAATAATCATAATCAGAATTTACTGCACAAAAAATGCATTAACTACAGCCAGGAGAGGTACCTGCTGAAAAGAAGGTGGTCATATGTGTTTTTCAGTTTTCTGTCGAACCTGAGGCATTCAAAACAACAAAAACTCTCAGCAAAGCTTCAGAAATGTCTCAAGGAACAAGCATAACCAGACAAGGGAATCAAGTCATTCCCAATTCAGAACCAAATATTTCAATCAACTAACCATATATGAACATTGATAACAGGAACTCCCACCAACTTCTCCAGCTTCTTGAAATAAGTAATTTCACTCCACTCTTGAGGTACAAGAAGCTTGAAGATATCAACTAAATACAAAGACTAGTCAGTTAAATTGAATAGCTGCACAGGAAACAAGGTTTATTTGAAACAAAGCACACCTGGTGTTGCACAAACATAAGCATCTCCAGTTATTTGAGTTCCATCGCTAAGTACGAAGTGTTTTACAGTTCCATCAGGATTCAGCTCTATCTTTTTAATACGAGAATTCAGGTGGACCTCTCCACCCCTAGACCGAATGTGATCAACAATAGGCATGCATAGCCTTTCAGGCGGATTACCATCCAAGAATGCCATTTTGGAACCATGCTTCTCCTGCGCATTTACACAAAGTAATCTTTTCAAAAGACCCACAAGGTATCTTAACTTTGCAAGTACATATTAGCATTTTCTCAAGTAAAAACAAAGAATACAGACAAGAAAATAAGAATCAACATATGTAAGCTATTTCTCCAAACAGAACAGGCAAGTAATATATTGCACAATTTAATAGAGCAACAACAGCTATACCTGAAGAAATCGGTTCAAAGCAATCAAAATGCACTGCATAGATAGCTCATCAATGTCGGGGACCTAATACCGGGGTACCCCAAAGAGGAGGAATCAATGAACCATCGAACGGTAAGGACTCCCGAAAGCGCGGTTACATCTCTTGCCCGACCAAGCGGAAGTCTTGTTCCGCCTCGCCCGAGCGCCCATGTGCCCTTGGGACCCGCTCTACCTCGCCCGACGGCTGAAGGGAGACTCACTCGCCGACGGCCGGAGGGCGACTCACGCCCGACGGCCGGGGGCTCGGCTTCACCCGACCACCGGGGACTCACGACCACGCCGACGGCCGGCTGGGCTCGGCTTCACCCGACCCGCCGGGGGACGACTCCGCCTCGCCCGACGGCTGGGCTCGGCTTCACCCGACCCGCCGGGGGACGACTCCGCCTCGCCCGACGGCCGAGGGCGACTCCGCCGCCTAACGGCCGGGCTCGGCTTCACCCGACCCCCAGGGATGCGCACCGCCGCCGACCCCCGAGGGCTGGGCTCGGCCCGCTCGACGGCCGGGGACAACTCCGCTTTCCCCGGCGGGTAAAAACTAGGTTTTACCTCATCCGAACGACCAATGACGAATCTCGCCGCCTGATATCCGAGGGTCGCCCGCCTCACCGACGAACCGCGCCTGCACCCTCATGATGACGATTGCGGGTAAGACAAGACGTCGGTCAACCGCAGCGTTAGACGCCATGCCCCACACTGCAGGGAAGTACCGTCGAGATGTGACCAGCGAAGCGCTTGACCCCTCCGGCGGCGGCGCCCGAATAAGGTTAAGCTCTCCGAAACGTTGTTGTAGGCGCCGCCTTGACCTCCGACGAAGAACCCGACGTAGACATACGACAACCACTACGGTCCAAGAGCAAACCAACAGTTGCCGCGCCTCCCGACCCCCACGGGGTCGGGGCTCGGCAAATCGTCTCGTCCGACACGCCGCCAGCGCAGGGCGGATGGGACGTACCCACTTGCTAAACAAAGGCCGTGGCGTGCGTGGCCCACGACGGTCTACAATCGCCTCAATCTCGACACGATCCGCCATGATGGGGCGCATCAGCGTGTGGGGAAGAAGGAAGGACCGGGTTCCTCAAGGACCTTCTATGCTCTTAGTGTTTTCTTCTTCCCGCCTCAGAAAAAAACCCCGCTCCCCTTGATCTATAAAAGGGGGAGGCAGGGCTCCCCACTAAGGGATCGATCAACCGATTCTCAATGTGTTAGCACACACACACGCACCACACGGCCGAAGCGCCAACAGAGCTCTTGGCGCCCTTCCAATCACTCCATCGTGGACTTGGGGTCTCTCCTCTCCCAACCGCTTGTACCCCTACTACTTAACCTCATTCGGTGCTAATAACACAAGCAACAACAGATCGGACGTAGGGACATTCAGCCCAACCAAGATAACCCTTGTGTCCTTTAGCGCACCATCCGGCCTAACGCGCATCAATTACAAATTTACTCGCCGGTGTTTGTTCAAACACCGATAGCTGGCGCCGCCAGTAGGGGCTTTGCGCGCGTTCCAAACCAGGCCATGGATGGCTAACCACGACATTAGCTGGTCCCCAGCGCACACGCGCTTTCGGAGCCTCGGATTTCATCGTCGCGGGGAGGAGAGTTGTCATGGTCGCACGCCGCCATCCAATCTCTTCTCCTCCAACGGCCTTTACCATGAGAGGCTTGGGCATCACCGACGCGCCTCCCATGGACCATGGGAGTCCAGGAGAAGCAAGATCGCCGCCATTGCCAACGGCGACAAAGATGGCGCGACCTTCCGAGAGAGACACATCTCTCCGAACGACACGCACGGAGCGCCCGACGGCGCCCGCTCGGTCTCCGCAACACACATGCGCGCATCATGCGAGCCATCTTCCGCACTACGCATGGTTCTAACGCCCATGGACAACGAGTTCGTGGGGGTGATTGAACACGACATGGAGTCTCTCCACAAACTCCTCGCCGAAGAGCCAGAGTCATCCTCTAGCTCCGACTCCAGCAGGGGGAGCCATCGTCCTTCTCGGGAATGCTTTGTGACGCAAACCCCCGAGGGACACGTCAAAAGCGTCTCCGGGGAGGAGACTACCCCATGATTCGATTCGACCCCACCGGGCAACCTAAAGAGGAGCAGCCGCCCCCGCCCCACGTAGGGGTGGAGCAGCTAAGAGCCCGAAGGGAGGAGATCGCTGAAGCCGGGCAACAGCTTGCCCGGGAATACGAGAAAGTCAATAAGGAGATCAGACGCCACGGAGATGGTGGGCGCAAGACGCACCACCGCCTTTCAGTCAGTACACCAAAGGATCCTCACCGACGACGGGGCTTTCCCACACTTCGCCGGGCGAGCTAAAACATCGCCGCCAAGAACGGCCTTTACTTCACGGTCTCCCCCAGGCCGCGACGTCCGAGGATCGCCGGGCCGCCGAGAAATCCGCACATTGCTCGAACGCGCGGCGGCAAGAAAGCAGAAAGAGAGCTCGTTGTCTCGGCGACGCGAAGCTCGACACCAGCCAAACAGACGCCCTCGGTGCGCCCCGCCAAAGATGCGCTGGCCACCAAACGCCACCAGACGGCAAAGTAGACGCTATATATCCCGGTGCATGAATGCCTCGGCCACAACCGCGACGCCAAGAAAGACCATCGACGCCCGCAGACGCGCCTACAACGACTCAAGAGAAGGAGCCAGACATGGCTACCACCCTCGGCACGGCAGACGCTACGACAGCGGCGAGGACCGGAGTCCGAGCCCCGGCCTCTCAGGACCTCAAGCCTTCGGCCGACACATCCTCAACGCCGCTTTCCCATCAAGGTATCGACCGCCCACCAACGTTCCTAAATATTCCGGTGAAACTAACCCCGGCTCGCTCAAGACTATCGGCTTGCTCGCAAGCCGGTGGGCGCAAATGATGACCACTTCATTATTCGCAACCTCCCACCGTTTCTTGGCCGATTCGGCGCGAAAGCATGGTTGGAGCACCTACCGTCCAACACCATACACAGCTATGGATTTGAGGGAAATCTTTGTGGGAAATTTCGTGGCACATACAAACGCCTGGAACCCATGGGACCTTAAGAACTGCCGCCGAAAGGCCGGTGAGACTCTCCGCGAAGTACATCCGGCGCTTCTCGCAAGAAGGTAACGAAGCTTCCCAACGTCGCCGACGCCGACGTGATAGGAGCCTTCCTATCGGGGACGACCTGCGAGTCTTTAGTTCACAAACTGGGACGCAGGAGCCCGCGAACGACCAAGGAACTCCTGGACATCGCGACCAGTCACGCCTCAGGAGAGGAGGCAGTCGGAGCGATCTTCGATCGCCTCGACGGCAAGGCCAAGCGGGACGAGGACGCCGCGAAGGCGCCCAACCGCTCCGCCAAAAAGAAGAACAAGAAGCAACGGCGCGACGATTCGCTTTCACAGCCACCGCGCCGACACCGCAAGGGTAGTCGGAAGCCCGCGAGGGCACTCAACCACTTCAAAAGATGCTCGAGGGGCTGTGTCCGAACCACGCCTTCCCGTGAAACACCTGCCAAAGACTGCGGTCTCATGCGCAAGTTCTTACCAGAGCACCAACAAAGGGGAGCAGGGAAGGCGCCGCCCTCACCGCAGACGATGAGAGGAGGAGAAGGACGAAACCTTCCCAACCCCGAAGCGGCGCCTTTATGATCTTCGGAGGATCAACGGCTCGCGACTCCAAACGGCGCGGAAGGTCGCGCGCGCAGGAGGTCTACACGGCCGACCGCCACGCCTTTTCCTCCGGTGGTCGGAATCCGCCATAACCTTCGACCGACCGACCATCCGGATACCGTCCCACATCCGGAAGGTACCCGCTTGTTGTCGACCCGATCGCCGGTCCAATGCGACTCACAAAGGTACTGATGGATGGGGCAAGGCCCCTCAACATCATGTACACCAAAACACTCGACGAGATGGGTGTCGACCGGACGAACCTCCGCCTCATCCGAGCGCCTTTCCATGGCGTCGCACTCGCAAACAGCCATACCACTCGGCAGCATCGATCCGTCTGGCTACTTTTGGGATCGGTCCAATTACAGATCGAAATCCTCACCTTTGACGTGGTAGGGTTCCCCGAACTTTCCATGCCATCTTAGGGACGACCATGCTACGCCAAGTTCATGGCCGCTCCCAACTATAATGCACCTCAAACTAAAGTCGCCGGGACCCCACGGATTATCACCGCTCGCACCTCCTTCCAAATGGGCCTCACGAATGTGAGGTCGAATGTCGCGCCATGCAACAAAGAATCGTCGCCTCGGGAACTCGCCGCCTCGTGGGAAAAGGTCATCAAGAAGCGCCCGACGCCGAGAAAGTAACCGGTCGTTCAAATCAGCAGAGGGCTCCAAAGAGGTCATCATAGACCCCGGCAGCTCAAGGAAAAAAAGCGGTGCGATCGGCACCACGCCTCTCCCCGAATAGGAAAGCGCGCCGTCGACTTCCTCCGCGACAACAGAGACGTCTTTATGTGGAAACCCTCGATATGCCAGCATTCCAAGGGAGGTCGCCGAGCACACCCTAAAAATCCATCCGTGCTCTAAACCGGTGAAACAACGCCACGCCGCTTCGACGAGGAAAAGCGCAGGCCATCGGCGAAGAGATAGCCAAACTATTGACCGCCGGATTCATCAAGGAGGTACACCACCCGGAGTGGCGGGCAAACCCCATCCTTGTTCGAAAAGAAAACGGAAAATGGAGGATGTGTTGATTACACCGGTCTCAACAAAGCGCGTCTGGCGGATCCGCTTCCTTTGCCACGCAAAGATCAAATAAT